TAACCTGCAAGGCCGAGAAAACTGCGCACTTTCTTCACTGTACGATATGGTGCCCATCGCTAGATGGATTCTTTTCCAGGGTCAACAGATAGGCCTTGAGATAAGATAATATGTCCCAAGTAATCAACTAATTTTTGTTCAACTACGCATTTAGACTGTTTAGCCACCAACTGATGTTGACACAATAATTGAAGAACCGAGACTAAATGTTCCAAGTGATCAGTCCAAGTAGGACTATATATCAAAATATCATCAAAGAAAACTAGGGCGTATCGACGCAAGTAAGGTCTAAATATCTCGTTCATAGTTGCATGAAATGTAGAGGGTGCATTAGTAAGGCGAAATGGCATGACGAAAAATTCATAATGTCCATTATGAGTGCGGAATGCAGTTTTAGGAACATCCTCTGGACGGACCCTAATTTAATGATAACCTGACAACAAATCCAACTTGGAGAAATAGTGTGCACCATTCAATTAATCAAAAAGCTCGTCAATGGTAGGAATTAGAAATCTATCACGAATTATGATTGCATTTAATGCTCGATAATCGACACAAAATTGCCAGATGCCATCTTTTTTTTGAACCAGCAATACGGGTGAAGAAAATGGACTAGTACTAGCTCTGATTATCCCTTCTTTAAGCATTTCAGCCACTAATTGTTCCATAACATGCTTTTATCGATTTGGTTTCACATTAACTGGTCCTCTTCTTGGAACTAAATGAATTTTGTGATCCTGACTTCGTAGAGGAGGCAAACCCAAAGGTTTCTGAAATACATATTCATATGTCTTTACCATCACTTCTAACTCAGATGGAGTAGTACATGAAGATTCCAAATCTGATACCAATTCTAGGTGGAAGTACGAGGAAATTGCATCAATAGCAACCATTCTTCTCAAGCTATGTAATTGCACTGGTAAAGTAGGAGGAAATTGCATCAGTAGCAGCCATTCTTCTCAAGCTATGTAATTGCACTGGTTGTACATCAGTAGGTGCATCCCCTTTCCACTAGACCTTGACACCATTTAGAGTGAATTCAAATATCTTCTTTGCATAATCAGTTAGGACAGGTCCCAAAGTTGCGAGAACCATTTATAGTGAATTCAAATATCTTCTTTGCATAATCAGTTAGGACAGGTCCTAACGTTGCGAGCCATGAAACTCCGAGTACTATATCAGCACCATGAAGGGCTAAAATATATAGATCTTCCACTATATTGCTGCCTTGTATGGTTATTGGAATTTTTCTAGCCACGCCCTCACATCGTAGTCGTTGTCCACTTCCTACCACTATTGAAAAACTTGGTGTTGGTTAAGTTTTCAACTAAAGAAAGTTAACCACCCTCACTTGAATAAAATTATGAGTACTAGCGTTGTCCACAAACACTTGTACTGGAGACCCATTAACATGACTAGTAAATCGGAGAGTAGTGGAAGAATTTTCTCCAGATAGAGCATGATATGAAATAACAGAGTGTTCTTGAACCTCCAAGCATTGTAATTCCTCGGCTAAGGCATCATCCGATACAACTTGATCTGATAAAGTTACTTCCGCCTCTGAGTCTTTAGATAACACTAGAGGTTGGGGAAGAAACTTACACTTGTGACCTGGAGAGTATTTTTCATCACAAGAATAGCAGAGACCACGTTCACGACGACTTTGTAACTTTACAGGAGTAAGGCGTTTCATGGGGGGATGATTTGATGCAGTTTGGGTAACTGGAACTATCTGGTTCATAGTTGACTGCCTTGAGACTGCATACTGATGAGTGGGAGTTGGATGAAGTGGTGGAGTTTTACTAAAAGCAGGTTTAAAAGAACCACGCTCAAGTTGAATCTTTTGCTCGTATAAATGGGTTAAACGTATAACTTTGTTTAATTTCGTGGGCTCACGAATCAAAACAACAGTTTTAATATCAAGCCTCAATCCAGAAGTAAAAAAATGTGTTAATACCTGATCTAGAAAATGCATCGTCTCATTAGACACTACTTCGAAGCGACTCTGGTATTCAACAACCATAGTGGTCTATCGAAGTTTAGCAAGTCGACCCTCTGGTGCCTCCAGATCTCGTTTTCGAAATCTGACCAACAGTTTCTCAGCAAAATGCTCCCAATTAACTAACTGTTTGTTGCAAAAAAGCCATCGGTACCATTCCAAGGCATCGCCTTCCAAGTAGAACGAGGTTAGTGTTAACTTATGATCCTAAGTGATTCCATAAAATTCAAAGTAACGCTCTTCTTGGAAAACCCATGATTTAGGATTCACTCCATAAAATCACCCTAATTCAACCAAAGCCAGTTTGTGGCATAAAATTGGAGGTGTTAATGCCTGACCGCCATAAACTTCAGTAGTTTGACGTGGTCAAGGTGTTGCCGCTACAGAAGTACCATTTTGGGAACCTAGTGCCATGACGTGACCTACCACTTCTTTCAACATAGATCGCATCTAAGATATTTCACTCAAGAATTACTCTTTCACCCCATGTATGGAGTCTGCGAGGGACTTGAGTTTTGGGTCCTCTTCCATTAGAGAACTCTCTGGATGAAAGCACCAATGAAACAAACCCGATTTCACAAAACAAATATATATATATATATATATGTTTTGCTAAATAACATTAATGCACAACAAAGGAAATTACAGGAAACAACAACTTAGGGAAATAAACTTGAAATCTAAAACTAGAAGTCTAGAAGGGGTTCAGAAGACAGAAGAAGGAGATGAGATTATTCAGAATCACAAATAACTTTCTTATCCTTTCCTACCCACGCTCTCACACTTCTATACTAATTCCATAACTAACTCTTGCCTTACTCACGTGACTTTCTTCCAGCCCAAAGGTAACTGTCCAACCTTTTAGGTGGAATTACAATTCTAGTATTCCAACGCGGTTTGCTAATGCAGAAATCATCACTCGCCGCATTCTCTCTATTATCCAAATTAACAAATGTATAAACTGATTTCACAACAGAAAACATGTCTAATTTTCATCTTGTTAAACCTTGTTCTCAGGGGCGGAGCCACGTAGGCTCCAGGGTGTCCAATTGGACACCCTGCGTCGAAAAATTATACTATAAATACACGTAAAATTTTGACTTTATATTGGTATATATAGAATTTGGACCCCCTGAAATAACAAAGTGATGTGCAGTGGAGTTGGCAATAGCCTGTGCAATCCTACTTTTTGTCCCGATTCGATTCCCCGCAGGGTTGTTTTCTTTTTCTGTAATTATTTTGACTTCTTGAATTCAATTAAGTAAATAAACATGCATAATTTTAACATAAAAGTTCAATAGCTTGGTGGTTAATAGTATCATGAAGGTCTCCAAGACCCAAGTTCGAATCCCTCCTCTACTAACTATTTTTTTTCAATTAAAATTAAATTATTTTAATACATTTTCCTTGTAGAATAAGATTTCCTTGAATTTAATACTTTTTCTTGTGGATTTTTTTCAATTAAAATTGAATTATTTCCTTAAATTTTAATACCTTTTCCTTATGGAATAAGATTTCCTTAAATTTTAATACTTTTCCCTTATGGAATAAGGTTTTCTTTCTCTATAAATAGGAGACTCATTTACCCAAATATCACAATATTATTAAGAATAGAATCTCAATAATTCTCTCTCTGTTTTTTCTTCTCGTTCTCTTATTTTATAACAAAAATAACCAACTTAATATTTTAGTTTCAAGTTTCAATAGACATGACGAATTATTATAATAGAGTACCAAAAAAAAGTTCGACTTCTCTAAGTCAACCAAATAAAGAAACAACGGTAGATCAATTAGAGATGTTTTATGTAGAAAAGAAAGTATTTCGTACTATTTCTAATGAGTCTATTATAAAAAGGTTTCAGGATATGAAACCTCGTTGAGTACAATTGTAATAATATATTTAAATTATGTTTTCAATAGTAGTTTATTTTCTTTATGTTAGTTTTGAATTATACACTTGTAATTTTATTTAAAATATTCCTGTATTTAATTAAATATTGCTTAACTTGATTATTTGTTTTGGTAATTTAAATTGTCGTTTTTTTAAAAAAAAAATTACTATTAAAAGTTTGGACACCCTTCATTAAATTCATGGCTACGCCACTGCTTGTTCTCTTTCATCTGTTTACTTACTGTATATATGTTGTTGTACAACATACTTTCTCATTGGATAAATGGACTGGAAAGAAATGCTTCTTCTTAGGTGCAAGAGATCTTGATATATCATGGGGTGATACGCCAGAATATTGGGAATGGGCTTCTGTACCAGAGTCCAGGTTCGCTATTTTCCTGCATCTATCTTATTAAAATGGGTGGGTTTTAAATTTTGGGTCTAATTAATTGGTCAAATGGGTTCCTTCATAAGATTGCGCCACGTGTCATTATATGGTCTTTTGTTAGAATGAACGGCAAATAAGCACTAATTTTTGGACGATAGTGGTATCAAAGTCCCAAAAGTATGACAGAGGTATTTGTATACCATTTACTATAGTTTGGTGGTATATTTATCCTTTTTTCCCTTATTAATATACACTATATTTCACATTATTCTTACACGTCATACCAAACTGTCCAAACAAATTATTTCTACATCACCCAAAGATCCTGTAGTAACTAGTTAGAGTTATGTAACTTGTAAGTATTAGTAATATAGAAATTAATTATTAGTGAATTCATATATTATTTGATGCATATATTAATTATACATTAGTTATTTCATCTTTTATCCTACATGTAAAATAATATATAAATTTTATAAATAATCAACCAAATATCGTATTAATTTCTTATAAACATAAATAACTAATTTTTTATTTACCTACCAAACATAATATAAATTATAAAAATATTAATATATGCATAACTTATTTCTTATCCCACCGCAAAACTTAACCACCAAAGGAAAAAGCAAACATCATAAAAATGAGTATATGCATAACTTATTTCTGCTATCAAACTTAACCATCAAGAAAAAGCAAAAATCACCTATAAATATGAGTATAGTAGCATGAAGGGCAACGGCAAAACACACCCAATGGAGAAAGAGCAAAACGAGAAAAATGAGAGTTGTAATACTTGTCTGTCGATGCTACCGGAGGGATGTATCGCTGAGATCTTCGCCTTTACGAGCCCGCCGGTCGTTTGCCGCTTTTCCTTAGTTTCTACATCTCTCCGTTCTGCCGCCGATTCCGATTCCGTTTGGGCAAAATTCCTGCCGTCCGATTATCCATCCATCATCGCCAAATCACCGACTCCGATCCCCGATTTCCCATCACTCAAGGATGCCTATGTTTATCTCGCCGATCATCCACTCTTAATTGATGAAGGTCGCAAGGTAAAAAAAATGAAAATCATACTAACTGCAATTTATCTAAATTGATAGTAGATCTGAATATCAACATTTCTATCCTCTTCCTTGAAAATGTCATATCCATTGAACGGAATATAGTTCATTTTTAATTTTTTTTGAGAAATTGTATATTCAATTTGTTGTCATTTGCTGAGCTGAAAATGGTGAATCCAATTAGGATGACAAAACACATGATATTCTGGCTCATTTTTGCGTTGATTGTCCACTCGCAACCACAAAATCATGCTCATAAGTCGTAAATAGTTACGATCTTCTAGTGCTCCATGGCAAGAAGGCCATAATTAAACTTGGAATCAAGAGTAATTAAACTCGTCATAATTTACGCCCCTACATCATTCCTCAAAAGCAACTGATGTTTTGTTGCTCCATATCTTTATTCTTTAAGATGTTACTATGAGCAAACATGTCTAGTTTTCATTTTGTTAAACCTTGTTCTCTTTCATCTGTCTACTGACTGTATATATGCTTTTGTACAACTAGACTTTCTCACTGGATAAATGGACTGGAAAGAAATGCTACTTCTTAGGTGCAAGAGATCTTAATATTGTATCGAGTGATACACCAGACGCTTGGGAATGGACTTCTGTACCAGAGTCCAGGTTCGCCGTTATCTTATTACTAATAATTGAAGCTTGTGTCAATATTTAACTATTTTGGTATCATATTTTCTTGCAATCCTACTTCGATTACTTCTCTTTTGAGGTGAGGGTCTTTTTGAAATAGTCTCTCTACCCAACTAAAGTAAGAGTAAGGTCTGCGTAGATACCACCCTCCTCTCCAGACCCCATTTGAGAGATTGCACCAAATATGTTATTGTTGAATTTAAAATGAAAATTTTGTAGTTGAATTGAAGCTATCTATTGATTGTGAAAACAGGTTTCCAGAGGTGGCTCAGCTGAAATTTATTCGCTGGCTTCAAATTTGGGGCACAATAAGAGCTGGGATTCTATCACTACTGACATCCTACACAGCTTACTTTGTTTACAAGTTGGGAGATGATTCTTATGGGTTTGATACTAGACACATGGAGGTTTCAGTTGGAATTTCTGGTGTTGAATCTGCAAATGTGCGGATTGCTTTTTTGCATCTGAATCCTAAATTTATACCTGAGGATATGTACACGTCACCTTATACTCCGCCCTCCCCTTATATAGAGTACTGTTGGATGGGGCCTTTATGGCCTGGAATTGATTATGATCCTCCCGAAGATGTTGATTGGGATCATCATCCTAGTAACTTGAAGCTTGATAAACCAGTTCCTAAACTTAGAGATGATGGCTGGTTTGAGTTAGAATTGGGTAATTTTTTTACTGAAAATGAAGATGATTGCATCGAGTTGAGAATGGAAGATGTGAAAACTGGTTGTACAAAACAAGGCCTTATTGTTGAAGGAATTGAGATAAGGCCAACAATTGCTTAACCATTTTACTGTTGTTATTCAATTCATTTAGTGAACTACTTGGTTTTTCCTTCTGAGGTTTTTTTCTTTGCTTGAATGAATAGTATAAGTTTTGAATTTTATGATACATGGTGTTAGCGGGCCTACATATTTTCCCAATCCATTGAATTTTTCTAAGCTCTTCTCCATTCTATATGTTTTACGAGGGTCTATTGAAACTAATTTTCTATCTCCATAAGGTAGGGGGTAGTGTTATGTATACGCAACATTTTGCCATGGCTGTGCTATGTTGTTAAGAGGGGTGAAAGAGGAGGATGCATTCTTGGTGTGGTACATTTCCATCCTTTCTGTCAAGCTATTACTTGAATGAAACTAAATTTTATGAAATCATATTGAATAATTAACGGTATATTATATACCTTGCTAAGAAACAAATATTTGATTTGTTTTTGGTCCTTCTTTGTTCCTCGGAACCAACAAGAGGTAGTATAGAAATATTCACATGTTTTCCATCGATTACGTTTTTTTGCCTTATTTAATTTCTGTGAATGAATCTTGTGAATACCCTTATGGTCCAAAATCCATTTCTAAAAGAAATATATTGAACAAGAAAGTTAAAAAGTTTGTTATTAGTTATGAACTCTATTTGATATTAAGTTATATATGACTAATACATATTTTCTTTTATTATTAGCAATGCGAGAAATTGTAATGCATACACTAACGTGATTTAAAAGAAATACAATTGCTCATTAAAATCTATTTTCGCATCCAATCTATTGTATTTAGCTATTTGTGTGATTGTGTCTATAGTATTTAACTATTTGTGGAGAGGATTCTGTAAATAATTTTTTAGTAGGAATTATATAATGCACGTCATTTTTAATATACGAAATTAAATATTGCATAAGAAATAATATCAGCATAAGTAATACAAGCATAACACATAGTATTCAACAACAATAGTCAATTAATATTATTAATATATACATCATATTTCACATTACCGCACCATAAAGGACCATTTAGTAGCTGGTTAGAGTTATGTAGGTATTAGTAATATATGAATTAATTTTTAGGTGAATTCATATATTATTTTATGCTTGTATTTATTATACAAATATTAATTATTTATGTATTAATTATATATATATTAATTATCTCACCTTTTATTCCGCATATAATATAATATATAAAGTTTCTAATTTGACAACTCAATATCCTGCTATAACATTATGATTATCCTCCTTTGGGCTGGAAGATAAGATTTATGCAGTCCATAGAAAAAGAAAAAGAAGAAAGTATTATGTCATATTACCTCACCCTAAGAGGTCATTTAGTAACGGGTTAGAGTTATGTAGGTATTAGTAATATGTAAATTAATTATTAGTGAATTCATATATTATTTTATGCATGTACTAATTATACAAATTTTAATTATTCATTGTATTAGTTATCTCACCTTTTATTTTGCATATAATATAATATATGAAGTTTCTAATTTGTCAACCCAATATCCTATTGAGTTTGAAAGTGATTAGGGCATCATGCGGAAGTTTACAATTGTAAATCATATGCCGATAAATTAGACGACACATAAAACTATACTAAAAGCCATAATATTATTATTTGATATGACCAATTGACCTACATAGTTAAAAAACTAATTAAAAGCATAAAAACTATAGAGAGAAAATCTCCCCATAAACAAAACTCTCAAAGTGACTACATTGTGGATTATTGTGTTTTTTTGGTATGAGAAGATGTGTATTCAATTCACAGGAAACAAACTTTTTCTCTAAGGAAAGAAAAAACCAAATAAGATAAGAAAAACCCTAACAAATCTCCTCTTTTGGCTTGAATTTTCTAGCAAAATAATCTTGATCCTTTTCCTTCACACAATCTTCATGTATCGTTTTTGCTTGCTATGATTTAAGAATTGATATGGGTTAAAAATTGGAGCCATGTGTTAAAAGTTATGAGCAGGGTTGAAAGTGAAGCTCATGCGTTAAAAGTGATATGCATGAGTTGAAAGTGGAGCTCATGTGTTAAAAGTAAAATGCACGAGCTTAAAGAGGAGTTCGTGCATTAAAAGTTTGTAGGAGTTGAATGTTTGGGGCCATGTGTTAAAGTAATCATGAGTTGGAAATTGATTTTGTTTTAAATGATGGAGCAACAGGATTGTTGAAAATATATCTGAATTTTTTCTCCACATGTAGTAGCATAAAAACCTTCATTATCATCACGTTGATTGCAAATTAATCTGAAACCGCTTTGAACATGTCTTTAACTTTGTTCCATTGGATCATTGAATCATGTGCTCTAATACCACTTGTAGGGTTCGAAAGTGATTAGGGTGTCATGCGGAGGCTTACAATTGCAAATTATATGCAGATTAATTAGACGACACATAAAACTATACTAAAAGCCATACTATTATTATTTGTATGACTAATTGGCCTACATAATTAAAAACTAATTAAAATCATAAAATCTGTAAAGAGAAAATCTCCCCATAAACAAAACCTTCTAAACGACATCTGAGGAAAGAATAAACCAAATATGAAAGAAAATTATATTTTTTTCTTTCACGAAAAGTTAAAACATTTATGGTAATGCTTTGACTTTCCTACAAGAGAAAAATAAACTTGAAATAAGATAAGAAAATCAGGGCAAACCCTAGCATATCCTACTAATTTTATATATAAATAACTAATTTTCTATCTACCTATCAAAGATCATATAAATTATAGGAAAAATAATATATGCATAACTTGTTTCTTATCTACAACAAAAAATTAGTTGTTTGCAACAAAATTTGAAACTGACTGAAAAATAAATTACAATCACAAATAAAATATGAAGAAACATAATTTTATTCGTCAAGACTATGAGTACAAATCAGTTGATCCCTTGATTCCTCTCTCATAAGATTCGTGATTCGAGGACCGGGCCGTAGGGGATTGTTTCTCGAACGAAGATGACTAATTTTGATATCTTTGTGAATATTCTAAGAATTCACGAAATATTTGAATTTCGTGAATTCAAATGTATTCATCATTTATTATAAAATTGACTTAAGAAAACATTAAATAAAGGTAGAATGATAAGTTACATCATTTCTTAATACAAGTGTAAAGTAAAAATATGACATATAAAATGGGACGGAGAAAGTATATGCATAACTTATTTCTTATCTCGTTACTAAACTTAACCACTAAGAAAAAGAATCATAAAAAAATTAATATGTGAATAACTTATTTCTTATCCCGCTACAAAACTTAACCAGTAAGGAAAAACAAATATCAACTATAAATATCAGTAGCATGAAGTGTAACGGCAAATCACACTCAATGGAGAAAGAGCAAAGCGAGGAAAATGAGGGTAGTAATACTTGTCTATCGATGCTACCTGTTATGAACCAACTTTGACCTAATGTCGATACCTATACGGATGCCACATAACTAGGTATTTGGCCAAAAAGAAGCAGCAAAATTAGAAGGCCTTCACAAAGATTGATTTGGGACCCAGGCCCAATTAACAACTAATTAAAAGGACGACGGATGAGAAAGAAAGGTTTATGCAAATTGTTGAGAAAACTGTCTAGTCCTCTCATCCCTTTTCTTTGAGTCTGTCTCTCATCTCCTTCTATTATCTTCTACAATAGTTTTCTTGTTAGTTTCATTTTTTGTATAACTTCGAATTTAGTGATTATAATATTTGAATGTTTCTATTGTGAAATCGAGTTTGTTTCACTACCGGAGGGATGTATCGCCGAGATCTTCGCCTTTACGAGCCCGCCGGACGTTTGCCGCTTTTCCTTAGTCTCTACATCTCTCCATTCCGCCGCCGATTCTGATTCCGTTTGGGCAAAGTTCCTGCCGTCCGATTATCCCTCCATCATTGCTAAATCACCGACTTCGATCCCCGATTTCCGATCACTCAAGGATGCCTATGTTTATCTCGCCGATCATCCACTCTTAATTGATGAAGGTCGCAAGGTAAAAAAAAATGAAAATCATACTAACTTTACTGCTATTTATCTACTTACTGGTTATCTAAATTGATAGTAGATCTGAATATCAACATTTGTATTCTCTTCCTTGCAAATGTCGTATTCATTCATGGAGAATTGAACGGAGAATTGTTTGAATTTTTTTTTTGAAAAGTTGTATATTCAATTTGTAGTCATTTGCTGAGCTGAAATGGTGAATCCAAAAACATTATATATGCTTGTCATTTTTTGCGTCAATTGTCGACTCGCAACCACAAAATCATGCTCATTAGTCATAATATGAGTAATTAAGCTCGTCATAATTTACGCCCCTACCTCTAAAGCAACTGCTGATTTGTTGCTCATATCTTTATTCTGTAAGATGTTACTATGAGCAAACATGTCTAGTTTTCATCTTGTTGTCTTTCATCTGTCTACTTACTGTATATATGCCGTTGTACAACAGACTTTCTCACTGGATAAATGGACTGGAAAGAAATGCTACTTCTTAGGTGCAAGAGATCTTAATATATCATGGGGTGATACGCCAGAATACTGGGAATGGGTTTCTGTACCAGAGTCCAGGTTCGCCATTTTCCTGCATATATCTTATTAATAATTGAAGCTTCGTGTCAGTATTTAACTATTTTGGTATCATATTTTCTTGCAACTTCTCTTTTGAGCTGAGGGTCTTTTTGAAACAATCTGTCTACCCAACTAAAGTAAGAGTAAGGTTTGCGTACATACTACACCCCATTTGAGAGGTTATTGTTGTTGTTGAATTTAAAATGAAGATTTTGAAGTCAAATTGAAACTATCTATGTTTTCTCCTTATTGATCGTGAAAGCAGGTTTCCAGAGGTGGCTCAGCTGAAACTTGTATGGTGGCTTCAAAATTGGGGTACAATAAGAACTGGGACTTTATCACCACTGACATCCTACACAGCTTACTTTGTTTACAAGTTGGAAGATGATTCTTACGGGTTTGATGTTAGACACGTGGAGGTTTCAGTTGGAATTTCTGGTGTTGAATCTGCAAATGTGCGGATTGCTTTTTTGAATCCGGATCATCCTAGTAACATGGAGCTTGATCATAAACCAGTTCCGAAACTTAGAGATGATGACTGGTTCGTGTTAGAATTGGGTAATTTTTTGACTGAAAGTGAAGATGATTGCATAGAGTTGAGAATGGAAGATGTGAAACCTAGTTGTCATCCAAAAGGACTTATTGTTGAAGGATTTGAGATGAGGCCAACAATTGCTTAACCATTTTACTGTTGTTATTCAATTCTCTAGGGAACTAGTATAAGTTTTGCCCTCTGAGGTTTTTTTCTTCTTTGAAAACGTTTTACTTTGCTGGAATGAAATAGTATAAGTTTTTGAATTTTATGATACATAGTGTTAGCGAGCCTACATGTTTTCCCAATCCATTGCATTTTTCTAAGTTCTTCTCCATTCTATATATTTCACGAGAGTCTGTTGAAAATAATTTTCTATAAATTTCTACCATAAGTTACGTATAGGTCACCCTTTTCAAATTTCACTTAGATATTTATCTCAAAAATCACCTTCAATTGAGTGACTCATCTCAAAAGTCAATCCTAAAAAGCCAACAGACACGTAATATTTTGCCATGGCTGTGCTATGTTGTTAAAAAGGGGGGAATGAGGAGGATGCATTCTTGGTGTTTTACATTCCCATCCTTTTAGGTTGGAAAATCCATTACTTCAATGAAACTAGATCTCATGAAATCATATTGAATATTTAACTATATATTATATACCTTGCTATAAGAACCTTGTGTACCAACCACACATTTATTTAACCAAATCCAGTTCTTAAGGCCGTAACTAAGAGTGTCAAATGGACGGATTGAGTTGAAATTGGAGATATTAAAATGAGTTGAAATAAAAATTGAATTGGGTCTTGACCCTCCCAAGTTTACTTTGAGGTCAAAAATGGGTTGAGTCTTGACCCACCCAATTTAACCCTCTTAATCTCAATAATTTTAACATAATGATATTTAACTTTTATAATCATAATTTGAATTTTCAACTCAATTTTTTTTATAAAAAAAATAACAAATTGATAGATAAATACTGAAAGATATTAAATAGATAATAATTCATACCTTCAATATAAGAAGGTATCTTAATAAAGAGCTTTAAAATGGGTTAAAATTGAAAATAGAATTGGATTTAATTGAGGATTCTCTTAAAATGGATTGAGATTGAACCCAATTCAAATTATCTTTATCTTGAGCTCAACTTTTGAAATTCTGTACGGGTTTGACACCCCTAGCCGTAACTGAGTATATTACATCATCTTGTATTTTATACAAGAGATACATTATTAGTCTACAGAGTCTCCACTCCAACAGATGAACCAGGGTTAGCAGGGTCAATTCTGCCCATGCTCTCCTGCACGATGAAACAATTTGATTCACTAGACAACAAATTACGGGTCGTTTGGTTTGAATTCAAGTTGTGATGGAATTAATTATGATGGAATAAATTATGATAAGATAAGTTATGATGAAATTATTTTTTATTGAGGGTTTGATTTGTTGTATTCAAAATAATAAATTTTAAAAATAATTTGTTTGTTACAAAAATGCCCTTCATGAATGTAAAAAGTGATGTAACAAAAGGGTTGAAAGAGATATTTCTGTCATTTACCTATTTTATCCCGAAATAAGTTATCCCGAGATTACTATACCACCCAAGGGGAGGAATAACTTATCTCGATACTAATTATTAATCCCTAGATAAGTTATCCCAAACTTGTCAACCAAACAACAAATTAAGTAATACTATAATTTAATCTCGGGACTATTTGATATTATCCTTCACCCCAAACGACCCCTAAGAGTTGAAGATCAGACCAAAGAAAAAAAAGGATCTTGAGAATAGCAAGTTTACAAGCATCATACACAACATGGAAAGACTACTAAAAGTGATATTATTCTAATTAAACCATATTCTGTACAAGGACAAGCTCGAGGAGGAGCTTGACAGACGACACGGTCAGCAGACATTATTTCTATCAACAGGACCTGAAGGGAAAGGCTGCAGATAACCCACTTCAGCTCTTATGAGCCTCTTCTTCAGCCTTCTGCTTAAGAAAAAAAATGATAGTTAAGAAGAAAGTTCCAAAATTATGTCTACGTCCGCGGAATTAGTCGAAATGCACGAAAACTGGCCAAACCAAAAACATTCTAATACTCCATCTGAAACAATACATACCTTATCAGCTTTCTCTCTCTCAGCTCTCTCCTTTTCAGCTTTCTTCCTCGCCTTCTCCATCCTCTCCCTTTCCATTTTCTATTTTCCCCCAAAAAAAACAACAATTCAATTAATAAGTCATAATACCTAAACAAACACTCAAAAACTTCAAAATTACACATCTAAAACACCTCAATTCAATTTTAATTAACAACTAAACACTCCAAAACTCATCCATACTGTATCTCGTAAACACTCGATGCTAACATAACACATAAAAAAATTGAATGAAAAAAAATATACTACCTGAATGTAAACAGCCTCTTTAGCACGTTCTTCTTCACTGAAAATTCGACCTTTGCTGTCGGAAAAGTAACGAAGGCCGGAAATCGATGATCTTCCACCACCTTCCATTAAACGACGTACTCCACTGCTTGAAACGACAGATCTCATTGCCATATTCTGCTTTCTTCTGGATTTTTTATTTTTAATTGATCGAGAAGTGACTATATAAGTTATATATATACAAAAAAATAATAATAATAAATCAGCTGAAGGTTCGAGCTGATTCTGCGCTCTCACGGATTTTGCTGCCACGTACTGAGGCTCATATCTAATCAACGAATAATTAAAAGGAAAAAAATTACATAGTTATCCGAAAAAAGTATTTTTACACATTTTTTATATCAAAGTTATAAGTATCGTGTTTAATTTGGTGTTTTTAAAAATAATATCTATTATACAAATATTTTTTTAAAAATTATTTATAAAAAATACTCTCTATGAATTTGGTAGAAAAGATGTGAACAAGATTTGCATTGTGTCGTTAACCGTGCATAAATTTTTTTGTATTATTAATAACATGAATTTTTCTATATTAGTTATACATAACATAATATCAGATCGATAGGGTATATAAGTTGAAAAGTACCAAATAAGATATTGATACTACATGTAGTTAATGAATATATTATTTTTTCTAATGCATCCTATTAAAATGAATTGTTTGATAGACTTCATTAAAAATAAAAGTAATAGGTATCCATTATCTTTATGTATTAGTACTAGAGAAAAGATATAAAGACGTCATTAAAGTTGTTCCGTATTTGCATAAAGACACATTAACTTTCAAAGTGTTCTATCACTCCACAAAACTATTTAATATCTTTGTAAATGAGTCATTTTGACCCATTTCCTCGTTTGAGTTGTTACCACGCACATGAGGCGTGTCATGTAGTGTTTTCACTGTCATGGACCAATTTAAAAGTGTCACGTGTCATTTTCTTTCTTTATTATTAATTATTTAATTAATTTATGTCATCTTCCCCAAATTTAAACCCAAAATAGCCGTTGATAGCTCTAATTTTTTGATTTCATGATTTTTTTTTTCATATCAAGATCAATGTTGGTGCTCTCTGTTTGACGACTTCATCATCTTTCCCAAGAAAATAAGATACCACTGTTGGCTAAAATCTGTTTCTGGGGCTTTGAAAAAATGTGCAGAAACTTCTGGACCAATGAAGAATGTGATGTTCTTGTTCAACAAATTCAGAGTAAACACACTCCCAAGCTTTGGATACTCCTGTCTAAGCATCACAACTGGCCCTTTAAGAAAACGAATAAACCCACCAACAATAGGCCATGCTTTAATCACTGGAGGCAAACGCTTCTTAGATCTAGCCATAATTAGTGTAGATATGAGCTTTGCTACCAAAAGATTGCAACTAAAAGCAACCCCACATTCAAAATCTTATTGTCACCTAACTCCATAGCTGAATAAAAAGCCTTGAATGAAGAAAAATTAATGGAAATTTCTTTTTTAGGAGAGAATGATGATAGTCATAGTGGAGGCGCAAGCCAAACAGAGAAGAAAAGGAAAGGAGAAAACGACTTTTCTTCAAAGAATAGGGTTGAGTCGGGTTGAATTCTATCATAGGGAGTGAACAACACACGCGACTACATAAACAAGGGAATGAGTCAAAATGACCCATTTACAAAGATATTAAATAGTTCTGTGGGGTGATAGAACACTTTGAAAGTTAAGATATCTTTATGCAAATACGAGACAATTTTGATGGTGTCTTATGTCTATTAGTAACTTGTTTGAGTTTGGTACAATTTTCAACCATCATTAGTTATATACTTTATTTATAGTAAAGCAAAGAGTTTTCAAGCATGCATTTGTATGATTAAAGACGTGTAACGATTCCGTAATTTTTAAACACTATATAAAAATAATTTCTTCATAATTAATACAAATATATTAATAATATATAAATATTATTACAAATATTAATTTTATACACTAGCGGAGCCTTTTGCTAAGAACCATATCTGTCATTCTATGTTCCCCTTTTTCAGCACCTGAATTTTGAGTTGGTTGGTGAAATTGAAACCTGGGTTTAGAGAGGAGCAGAAGGGCAAAAGATGTATCATCCTACTAGAGGCGGCGTTCGTGGCGGCCGAGATCGTAAGCTTTCTTTGCTCATCTATGGTTAATCTAGGGTTTCTTTGTTTTTCTTCTTCTTATAGTTCGTCATTTAAAGTATTACGTTTCATCAATTGTTAGTCTAATTTGCTTACATATGGTTAAAATTTGAGAGAATCGCCCTTCCTCGAACAAAGATCGAGGCTTTTCTTATTATGTATTGAAGTTGAAATTATTTGAGATATCATTAATTGTGGAATTATAGCATGCGGATTTATTGTTGTTATAAACATAATCAGATTTACTCCCAGCAGTCAGTAGGATTAGATAGGAAGATATGAAGGTTGAAGATTAAGGTAGAAGGTTAATAGATAGTCGAGTCTCTTATCCGTATATGTTGTTATTTGTTGTTGCTACTTGTTCTGTTCTTAGCTGTTTTCAGCATGGCTTCTTCAGTATTGCATTTGTTTTACATACTTGATTTTTGATATGCTTACTCGAGCCAAAGGTGTATCGAAAATGGTCTCTCTACCTTCACAAGGTAGGTGTAAGGCTGGTACACACCACCCTGCTTAGACCCCACTTGTAATGTAATGGGTTACACTGGTTATGTTGTTGTTACCCTCTAGGATTAGAATGGAAAAGTTTTAGGAGTTATAAACAACAACAATTACTGTTACTATCCAAGGAAGTTGGGGAAAAGTTGGAGGAGTTATGAACTTGTAAATTTTGGGTGAAAGGCAGATGATCTGTGTAGAAGGAAAATTAAGGTTGGGTTCTTGAGATGATGTTCAATGCATGCTTGTTTTCCGATAGTTTGATGTCTGTATTTTGCAAGTCCATGTTTATATTTGCTTGATAAAAAAAGGTCATGTTTCCATTTGTCAGATTCAGGAGTTTTCTGGTACTTGCTGCTTGT